AGACGCCTTCTTCTCTCAATCAATCTCTCTGTATTTTTCTTCTAAGAGGCGTGAGAAAACTCCAGCCACGAGCCTCCCTCTATATATACCTATAGAGCAATGATTAACCCTAAGAAACTTTCCTTCCTTGTATTTATCTTTTCCTTCTTTTTCTCTAAAATATATTCTTCAAATCTCTTTCTCCTTTTCCTCCAAAGTAAATATATTTTTCATTTTTCCAGTCTAATCCACGCTTGTGAATATCAATATACGAGCTCCTCTCCACAAATCACACACCTCAACTTCTGTATCACTTCTTGTAGTAGTCTCAGTAGCACAGTCGAGTGGTAAAGGAAAAACTCCAAGTAACTCATCTCAATCTTCCCCTTTTTGACTATGTATGTGAACCCAACACTTTTAACTTCAATGGCATCGTCATCAATAACACCAAAACAAAAACAACTCCAATCTCCCCATACTTGAAGCACATAATTGTCAAAAACTAATTCGAAGTTCTTCTCCGATCAAATCGACGAGGTTTATAGCCCATCACACCATTGCCATAGAGATCATCTTTCCTAACCCAAACTTTCTTGAACCTTTGACCTTCATGAACGAACCTTCGACTGAATCCAAAACAATGACGTTGGATATGTCCTTCAACTCCACAACGATAACATGTTGGACCACGAAATCTCTCATCATAAGCTTGCTCCCTTCGATGATTCTCCCTCAATAACTTGAAACATCTTGGCCTAATATGCCTAGCAACTCCACAAGGATGACAAATAGGTCGAAAAAATCGCTGAGATGCGCTCTGAAATTCTAAAAATTTTCTTGAAGCAGTTGCAGTCTTGGTAGCAGTAGCAGTCCCTATAGTAACTCTGGGCTTTGGCTCTGAAGCAATTCTGGGCTTCGGCTTTGAAGCAATTATGGGCTTAGGCTCTGAAGCAGATGTAGCTGCAGTCTCTCTTCTTCCCTCAGACGAAAAAAACAGTTTCTGTTTTTGAGGATTCTCCATTAAATCCAAGATCATGTCTCTCCATAGGACTTTTACCAATATTCAAAATATGATTCAACTGATCTGTACCATTATTAAGCATCCTCAATTGCTTTTGTGTCTCTTCCAGCTGAYCTCTAGCTTGAGTRGCTTCATCTTSTTTCTYAACTGCATACTTCTGTGCTTCAYCAARTTGAGKTTCTAACTTGACTTTRTCCTTAGTCAACAACGAATTTTCTTCAACCACTTTAAGCCAATGCTCATACAACGTCTCATAGTTCTTAGCAAGTTCTTC